AGGCTCCCGCGGCCCCCGCGCCCCGCACCGTGTTGTAGAACTCGGCGATGGCCGGCACGATGGTGTAGTTGTCCTCGCACCAGTCCACTTCCGAGCTGCCAGCCCGCAGCTGGTCCCACCAGTGCGGGGCGCCCATGGCCGCCCAGGGGCATTGGAGCCGCCGCCCCCGCCGCTGCCGAGGACAGCTCAGCGTGGCTGCTCTGAGGCAAAACTGCCGCGGCCTCGGCTTTATTGCAGTTCGGGGCGGCCGCCGGATGTGGCACCTCCCCCGCCGCCGGCCGCCCCGCGCTCAGCTCCGCCCCCTGGACGTGACCCGCTTGCAGACCCCTCCCCAGCCCCGCCCACTGCTGGCTTCGGCCACGCCTACCACGAGGGCGGGACGCACGTGGGAGAAGGGGTGTGGGAGTGGGGGGGGGTCTGCTGGAGGGGGGCCGGCGCTCCTGGGCGGGTCCAGCCCACCGCGCGCGGCCGCGCTCAGACCCGCAGGCGCCCCGGGCTGTGTGAAGAGCTGCAGCGCCCTGCCTGGAAGCCTCACAGAAACCCACCGGGTCCTTTGGACTCCGGGGGAATCCGCACCGCTGTGGATGACTGATGATGCGGGAAGTGCCTCGGTCCCCCCGCAGCCGGGGGAAGCCTGCTTACAAGACCCGCTGTCTCGCCGGAGCCGAGGCCTGGCGACCCACTCCCTCCCGGGTAAAGCCCTGGTGCCGAGCTGGGGGCCTCAATCAGACAGCCACCGGAGGAGGGAGCGTGGTAGGCACGCCTCGGTCACCCAAGAGATGGACGATGACAAAAGCAACAGGACGCGCCTGCTCCCCTGGAAGAACATCCGTGCGTCAGTGTTCCCAGCCCCGATCCGGAGGTGGACTCTGTGAGAACCGCCCCCCCACACCCCCCAGTAAGAAAAGTAGCTGGGCTAGAAAACAAATCCAGGCAGGATGACCCGAACTCTGTTCCCAACAGCTTTGCTATGTAGCCCAAGCTAGCCTTGATCCTTCCAGGTGCTGGGATTACAGCAGTACACCACCTCGCCTGGACACATCCAATTCTAAGGGCAGGAAACACCATTTTATGTGCCAGTGATTCTTAAAGTATGATTCACTCTTTCAAATAGTGAATAAGGTCAAAACTCCTTTCCTGTTAACATTGTCTACTTACTATTTACTTACTCCTTTCCCTGGAGGCTTCTGCATGATGTGTGACATGACACCCATCACCTATGTTTGTGATTCTTTTTTTTTTGTGGAGCCTGAACTCTGGGCCTGGGCGCTGTCCCTCAGCTCTTCAGCTCAAGGCTAGCGCTCTACCACTTGAACCACACTTCTGGCTTTTTTTTCTGCTTATGTGGTACTGGGGAATCGAACCCAGGGCATCATGCATGCAAGGCAAGCACTGTACCACAGAGCCACCTTCCCAGCCCCTGTTTGTGATTCTTGATGTTAAAAGTCGCTACTTAAATATCTAGTATGATAGAAATTTAGTATGATAAACAAGTTATTTAGGGTCCTCAGTAAAATTAAAGAGTAGAAAATAGAATCCAAGAGTGGTAGCACATACTGACAATACTAGCATGCAGGAGATACTTAGCAAGATTTGAGTTTGGGGCTAGCCTAGGCTAAATAACAAGACTGTGTCACAAAGTATCTTTTCTTAAGTGTAAGGGGAGACATCAGGCCAAGCAGATTGGGAGCCAATGTTAAAAAGAAAACTAAGTGCAACACTGGGGGATCTCATCACTAGCTACTCAGGGGGCTGAGATCTAGGAATTGTGGTTCAAAGCCAGCCCTGGCAGGAATGGCCTTGAGACTCTTATTTCCAATTACCCACCACAAAACCAGAAGTAGAGCTGTGGCTCAAAGTGTTAGAGCGCTAGCCTTGAACAAAAAGAGCTCAGGGACAGTGCCCAGGCCCTGAGTTCAAGCCCCATGACTGCCACCACCACCACCAACAAAAACTATCCCCCATTCAACTCTTTGTAATATGTTTCATCATGCAGAATTTTAAAATATTGACTGATTTTAGATTTAAACATACTTGTTATATCACTCTTGTGTATATACAGAAAGAAAAACATAAGCAAAAGATGTATTTATTGCATTCCCATGAATTCTGTTCTTTTTTTCTTTTTTTTCTTTTTTACTTTTTCTTTTTTTTTTTTGCCAATCCTGGGGCTTGAACTCAAGGCCTGACCACTGTCCCTGAGCTTCTTTTTACTCAAGGCTAGCACTCTACCCTTGAGCCACAATACCACTTCTGGCTTTTTCTGTTTATGTGGTCTGAGGAATCGAACCCAGGACTTTGTACATGCTAAGCAAGAACTCTACTGCTAAGCCACATTTGCAGCCCTCCCATGAATTCTTCACATTCACATTTGGGTTCTGTATACTTCAGAAACACTTCCAGCTTGTGGCTGTTGATAGCCGTGTTCCACACATGTATCTTCTATGTCCTAGTTACTATCGGCTGAAAAGTCAGAAGTTTCAAAATTGGCTCATATTTTTATTAAGAATATTCAATAATTCCAACAAATAAATGTACTCTTTACCTAACTTATGTACACTTCTGTATAGCACCTTTATAATAACAATAAGAAATATTCCAGTATTACTTGCTTGCAAGCTACTGACACAAGTTTTTTTTTT